GAAGTAGTGGAACTCAATTTAGTAGTTTAGGGAGACAAAGACATTTTCTTTACTTTAAGCTTTCATAAAGGAAGACCAATGTCCTTCTCAAATTGTCAAAAGCAAAAAAGAGTAATATGGGGGAATTTATCAAAACTGGAGCAGGCAGAATCTAGAGCAACCAATCAGCTTCTCTCAAGTTTATTCAGGTAAGATTTTAAAATGAGAGAGAAAAGCTGATTGGTTACCATGCAAATCTGCTCCAGTTTTGATAAATTCCCCTCAGAATGTTTTGTTGCAGACACGGAATTTTGGTGCAAGAAAAGTGCTATGTGATACAGGCAGCATAACCTGCATGATAGTTATTGTTTTAGAGTGCCAATCATTTTTTGTTTGTTATGAAAGTCATGTTTTTGTGAAAATGTAGGAATAAGGGGTAGTTTCATTTTATGAATATGTTCAGTTAAGGGTCATGTTAACAGAATAAAGTAGAACTCCATGAAAGCTTATCTACATCTTAACTATCTCTAACAAAATCCCACTGCCATTTCAGGGAGACAACAATCCTCTGTTTGGGGTCCACAGGTTTCTTCCAGTTGAGAGTAAGAGGCAAACACATTCAAACATGCAGAATTTTGCAGCACCAATAAGGAATGAGTAAGGAATGAATGCATGATTAAGATTCTTCACCTTAGACAGCAATCATGGTTATTATGCCAACATCTAGATATTGGTTGCTGTGTTTTCCAGGAGAACTCATTTGCATATTGAGAACTTGGGCCGATATCAGAACATACAAAATATGTGCACATATCTATGGCCATACAATTGTATAATCCATTTGTGGCTGAATCTGGAGCTGCTCTCCAATAGGATAGTGAGAATAATGGTACTATTACCTTCCAAGTATAATACATTAATATTTTTTTTTGTGCTTTTTTTCCTAGTGTGCATTTTGAAATCTATTGCCAAGCGTTCCACTACAAAAATAAACTTACCAAAAAGCAGGGTAACTGTTCTGCATGCTTTATTAAAGTGCTGATGTACGTTATACTTTGGTGATCTTGTTTTATTATCCTTCACCTGATTGCTTAAACCATTTGTGATAACACCAAAATTAAAACTAGATATTTTAAAAATCTTTTTAAGCCTCACGTATTTGAATTAAGTGATTTTCTAGTCCTGCATGTTATCAGTTGTAGTGTCCTCCCCTTAGATTCTTGACGATCTTTTAAAAGATTTCCGCATTTGCTCCTGAGAACATTGACACAGCCCCTTCAAAAGTAAGCTACTACCTTCCACTGCAGGCACATATATTTAATCATCATAACAAAGCCAATAATTGTCCAAAAAGTACAGTTGAATGCTGTTATATGAAAACACCATTCTCCATGGTCCTGTCATAAAGAACATGTTTCACTCATATACTGCTACATTTCAGGACAATGGAGATCTGACAAACACAAATGAAGTACATAAACAGCATTCATTTCAATTGCTGCAAACAACACCCACATTTCCTAATATTTGCCTAATACTGCATATACAGACAAATATGTCTGTAATGGGTAATACACTGCCAATGACTACAGCTCATCTTCCTGCTATATGATACTAGTATAATGACAGGTGGATTATACATACCTGTAATCGCATTACAGCAACCAAACTAAACTGTGACATTGTACACTAGGTACCAAAAGGTGCCGTCTGCTCCTCTGCCAGCCTCAAATGCTTTCTTAAAGCTACTATCTGCAGAGAACTAAAAAAAAATCCACCCCTCAGGGGAGCCATGCGGGGGGAGTCAGTTCATGTACCCCATTACCCAGTTATTTTGCTTTGTGTTTCTTTATACTGGCTCCAGCATCAGATCCAGGTAAACGAGTAGCAGAATGCCCCCTATGGTGCCTGCTATATGTAAGGAGTCTTAGTTTGGTTGTATAGTTGTAGATTCTCTTAAAGTAGAACTATAGCCAGGCTATGGACATTTAAATATTTATATACTGACAAGCATTATATAAGCTTCAGAATAAGCCCTCAATGGCTTCCTTAAGGGAATTCTCAATACAATTTATCTTCAAAGTTCACAGTGATGTTTTCAGGCAGCTATGACCAACACACTCTGCCGGCCACTCTCACCAGCTATGATCTGTCGGCATTGCATATACAGTGGTGGCAAAAATTGTGGACACTTTTGGAAATTGTAATGTTTTGCAACTTTCAGACTTATAGCAAATGTTATTTTGCAAGTGCAAAATATGTCATTTTAAAGAAAATGTCATGCTAAATATAATACAAAAACCAGAATGCAAATATATGCAGTATAACAAAAAGATACGCTTACTTTAGTCTAAAAAATAAACACAAGTGTGATTCAGTTAAGAAGCAGATGTTAAGTGCAAACCCTACTGGCCAATCACAGCCCTTGCTCTGGGGACGAATCAAATGGCAGTAACTGCAATACATCTGGTGAGAAGCTGGGGAAAGTCAGTTTTGCTGTTTGTACTATTATTTGGAGTTAAAAAAATAAGATATCATTATTTGGTAGTGATGGCCGAAAATACGCATTACAGAGTAGGAGAAGGATAAGTACTATCCTTGTCGCACTCCTTACCGATATGTCCCTTGTAGTGGGGGGTGCTCGCAGTGACTGCGGATGGCGCCGCAAATGTCAGCAAAATTGTAGAAATGTCACAAGCACACCAATCCTTTTAAGATAGCAAAAGCTTAATTTAGTGTAGTTTTTTGTCATATGACCAACAAGCGCTTTCGGGACCACTCAGGGTCCCTTCATCAGGCATTAGCATTGACGAGTAGGAGAAGGGCTACATCCCGACTGCATGGAAGCCAATGTAAAGCAACCAACAAGCATTATTTGGGCATGTATGGCAACAAATGGCGTTGACCGCCTTCATGTAATCGACGGCACGGTGAACGCAAGAAAATACATTGACACCATCCTGGAACCAAAACTGCTATCTTCCATCAGGGATCTCTTTCCCAACAATGCACCATTTCTATTTCAGCAGGATTCAGCTCCCTGCCACATGGCAAAAATATGCAATTAGCACCGTTCACAACAAAGTCCATTCCATGGTTGACCTGATCAGGAAAAACCCCTGACCTGAATCCGATAGAAAATTTGAGGCACCGTTTGAAAAGCCTTGTACGAATGAGGCGGTCATCGAATAAAAGGGAATTCATTGAGGCTAGAATTGTTTCCTGGCACTACGTAATAACGAAGGCAGAGCTTCAAATACTTGTTGGCTCAATGAGACGTTGCTGTGATGCAGTTTTAAAGAATAAAGGCTATCCTACTAAATACTGATAGTACATTGAAACCATACATGCATTACAGTATATTCAGCATGATTGCAGTATTCCCTGCATAACTTATTTTGGACTGCATATAATTTACGTTTTGTTGTTTGTATTGAATTCAGCTTTAAATTAACATAAACATTTACATCTGGTGCAAAATAATTTATAATAATAATGCAATAATAATTTCCTGTAAGCCTGCAAAGTTGCAAAACATGAACATTTCAAAAAGTGTGTCCACAATTTTTGCCACCACTGTATATGTAAGCACAGAGACCTAGTGATGACATAATTGGGTCTAAAATGAAGTATGAAATGAAAGGGGGAGGAGGAACCAGGGCAGGGAAAATATAAGCCGATTAAACGTGAGCTTTAAGGATGAATTGCTTAACAGTGGTTATAGCTAGGAAGATCAGCGAGGGCTGGTTTTACAGTTTATTCTGCGTAAGAATATGTAAATATTTGAATGTGAATGCCCATAACCTGATCAGAGTTCTACTATTTTGGGAATTTTAGTGCAGAGACTTCAACCCCAAATCCCTGAAATAAATCATATAGATGCTTTGCCCTTCTGATATCTCTAAAAACTAAAATACATTTTTTTAGAGGACTGGCCCTTTAGATTATCATATGTATTGATGTCCTCCAGATGTAAAATTATTTCATAGGTCATGCTGCAGCAATATCCATATGCAGTCCCCCAATAAATTATATATTAAACCTAAAATAACTTCTGCCTGCAAAGTTGGTTTGTAGAAAGTAGAAAAATGTGTCAGTTTTTAAACCATTCCCATGATGATAAACAATATACATCCCAATTACTATTTTGACCAGATAACACATACCAGGCTGAGGGCTGGTCTTATGTTTTTGAGCCTTCTCCTTTTTAAACTTTGGCACTATACGAAATACTGTGCTTCTACTGTTTCTTTTAGTATATTCCATGGGATGATCCTGTTAGAAATAATTTTAAAAAAGGGGATAAATTGTTATTTAGAAATTTAGAAAAACTGCATCAGATGTCATTTAGTAATATAAACATAAGTGATGAATCTAATAAGCAGATCTTTTTGTGACTTCCATGAACCAATGTTGTGTTTTGTTGGACCAAGCCCCCACAAAACTGTGACTGACACACTACCCTTCTGACCCAATCAGTTGCAGCAGGGGCTTTCCCTGCCCCACATTTATACATCATTAGTTATTACTTAATATCCATTACCTATACCCATTACAATACAGATCTCATACCTCCTCCTCATCTGGCTGCAAGACATAGTACAGCCAGGGGATCTCTGCAAGCTTTGTTAACTCCACTTCCACATCATGCAGTGCATTGGATAAAAGCTCTTCATGATGAACTTCCAGCTGCTGTAATACAATGAAGAGTCCAGATAAAAACATCAGCCTGGTCCTACCACATTGTCATCTTTGTAAAATATTACAAAACATACTAGCATTAACTCACATGAACAGGTGGCAGTATTAATGTATTGTAATATACCTTTTTAAAATTCTCACCATCGTATATCTGACTTAAATTTGCTGTACAAAAAAGTGTTCATTTTTTTTCTAACAAAAATAATTCTTTCAAAATATATCTAAAGCCAAAACTTTACGTTTTTTGACACATTGGAGAGGCTCTTTTTTTTTAACCCCTCTGCATTTCATTCCTGTTTTCTGTTCTGTAGAGACAATGGAAAGTGGGAGGAAATCTCTACAAATAGAGGGAAATTCCTTCTTTCACTGGAACTCATGTCACCATTGGAAGATTTACCCTCCATTCCTGTTATGGTGACAACTTATCATTTTGATTTTCCCTTCACATTCAGTACCAGTGAGTGGTCACTGCGGCAAACAGAGATGATGCTAGTCACCAATGAGGGACACAGACAGCTATACAAACCTTGGTTCTAATCCTTCCCTACTCTATTCAAGGCGGGGGGGGGGGAAGGAGGCTTCAGCTTCTGATACATTTTAAAGAATAGGGAGGTGATTTCCACATTTGATTGGTGTCATGGTGCGGGCATAAAAATATCCTATTTTTTGGCCTCTGGGCATAAGACATCCTGAAAAGTCAATTCATTTCTTTTAGGGAAGGCGGTCTCCGAGCTAAAACACACAATTTACATATTTACCTCGTTAACTGTCTAGTGTTAATTGAATCAAAGTTAGGTTTGTTGTGCTTCCCCAGCAAGGAAGCATTTACCAATGTATGTTCTTCCTGAATTCTCTAGACAAAATGTCTCTGGGTGAGTTTGTCACCAGAGGGAAAAGGTGTCTCCTCACCTAGTGTGTATTTCAATGTTAAGAAGGCTTAAAAAAGGCCATATCTCATAACTCCTGTCCCATACATGATATGATCGTAGAACCTTCATGGAAAGAACGGTGACACCAAGGTGAATTGTTTGGCACCAGACATCAGAGGTTTACCTTGGAGGATGGCAAAGTTCTGATAATTGGGTCTCTTTAAGGTGTTTTTGGTTCTGTTAGCTGCAGAGTGCCGGAGTTTGGACTCTGCAGATAGCAGAATAGCTGGAACCAGAGCCATCACTTTCGGATCCATAATTCAGAACTGGAAACAGTTATGAGGGGTCCAAGATGATGAATAGAAAAAGAGTATCTGAGACCCCGGGGTAATATTCCCTCTCCAGCCCCTTCAATCTGATTGGCTGATCTCAGGGGGTGGAAACTGGTTTTGATCTTCACAAGTATAATAATTGAGATCTAAAACCGACAAATTGTCACATTCAAGGGGTCCATTCACAGATGGGAGTGTGTCCGTGTTTTTCTATCCCGGAAGCAGGATTATTCATAATTTCTGTAAGTTTGATCCCGTCTTATTTCAAACTGTTGCTTGTATGTATGTGTGTCTCACTTTGAAACATCTGCTTTTTGTAATGATCTTTTTCTATGCACTGCCCGTCTTAAAATTAAATATAAAATAATAAGCTGGTTTTTGATTGCTCTAAAAGAATGCACGAATCTGAAGAGACTGTTATGTGTCGGTTGTATGTGTATAGTCAATTGATTGTGACATCGGTGCCTTGACGCTCGGTTGTAAGTCATTGCCAGGCAGGGATCTGTGTGTCTGATGTGGGTGTGTGTGGGCAGTGGAAGAAGTGGGTACGCCAGGATTCTAGCTTAAGAGGATAGTTTAGGGGATCTTAGTAGGCGTGAGGAGACCACTTAGGCTGCCACACAACCATTAGAGTACACTAGATTGTATGCCAGATTTGCATCTGCCTGTGTGTGTGTCCAGCCAGGTTGAGTTGAGTGAGTCTCCCTCTAGTGGTGGCTAGCAGTAGTGCAGGAGACTGAGTGGAGATACTAACTGCAGAGGTAATTGTGCCTGGTTTTAGCTAACCTGTAACTGCTAGTGAGAGCAGGGTGTGTGGTCTGCAAAGCCTGTGTGCCAGTCTGCTTGAGTGCAGAGTGTATGGACTAGGAGAGTCCAGGGAAAGGTTCCCCACAAGCCTATAAGTTGTGGGTGGTGGCAGCTTAGTTAGTATATTTGTGTGTGAGTGTTGTTGCACGGCCCTACGTCACACGCCGTGCGTGACAGTTGGTGGCAGCAGTGGTGGGATCGTTAATCGCCATCTCCCAGTCTAGTGAAGACAGATAGTGGTTTTCAACCCTCTTACCGCTGCACTAAGTCACCTGGTCGCTTGGACTAGTGCCCCCTTCCGTGACAATTGGTATAGGGTTTGAGTGAGCCACCCCTCAACAGGAGAGGAAAAGCATCATTTAAAATGGTAAGTGAATATGGTGTTTGGAATTATACGTAAAACAGTTACTGAACACTGCATCCACTCACTAAAACTGAAGCACTTACCAGTGGTACTCTCCCAACCAAGAGAGACTCTGTTTCATTGTGCAGTGCCTTCACATTCATTGCTACTTCAATGGCAGTGTTCCTAGTGAGATTCTGGAGAAAAAGATGTCAAACCTTTTTTTTTTCTCATATCACATATTAATTCAAAATAGTTACATTTTATCAGTGAGTAAAATAATTCCACAAACACTCTCAATCTTTAGCGTTTTAGGACTAAAGAGAATGATAAGTTGATAGAGAATATCACACATCATAAACACCGAATGAACATGTACAGAACATTAATTATTCTATCACGTGACCATGAAAACTCAGCACTACTACTGGCAGGATTGTTTCTTTCATCCAGTATTCTAGTGATAAGGAAAACATCAACAACGATAACCCAGCACTCCTGATGACTACTTCCTTGCATGTCAGACCTCTGCTTCCACAAAGAAAGAAAGGGTACCTCTCTGCAGCATGCAGGTATAATTAGGCAGGCTGTGGCTGCTTTCTAAAGAAAGCAAACTGTATGCTTTGTTAAATAGCACTGCATTGTGCATGAGGCCATCCACAGCCTGGAGCATGAGGGGAAAAATTTGCTTTGACGTTGCTGTCTGAGGAGGACTGGTCATTTCAAGTCAAGTACAAGGTAAACCTTTGGTACCACGCTTACCTCTGGAAACCTAGGATTGGCTTTGTTTAGTGCATGTGAGCAGGCATTCACTGCATGAGCCAGCTCTTGTTCCAACAAACTGTGGATTTTTGCAGCTTCGCATATTCTGTAAAAATAAAAAAAAAAAGAAGCTTTAAGAGGCATTTACAAACTATAATTCTATTATGAAGAATCTCAGATATGAAGTATTGCTAGATATACATTATACTTCATGATAAGGCAAATTAGTGCGTTTCTGGCAATGGTCATACTACGGCTACATTTAAGGCAAAGAAAATGTTGCTCTTACTCCCCCCCAGCACTAAATACTTATCTTTCATTCACTCCCATATTGCTCTGTTCAGTGCCAGGAGCCAAATGAAGCTGGTGGTACTTCCCAGCATAGAGGAAAATGTGACTCACTCCATCTGAGATCGTTAGGACAGTCATCGCTGTCACACTGCAATTCTCTAGCCATGTGTACCCTACAACTCTGGAGACTTGTAGCTTACACAGGGATTTTGTGTTGCCTCTTGTTAGCGAAAGTAAGGTAATGTCTTTGGAAGTCATTAAAGTGAACTTATTTTCCAAAAAGATTCACTTTAATATGAAGCTGAAGTGGAATAAAATATGACCTAGTACCTGCACATCATATACCTTTTATTAAACAATTTGGCACATCCCTGCTGCTGTAGAACATATCAACCAGATACCCTGATTAAGAGCCTTGCTCCACACCCCTACCATGTGAATTATTGCCTGGTAAGCTCAAACATCACTATGGCAGCAACTAATAATAATAAAAAGCGACATAATCTGCCTGCACCCAGAGGTGCCAGCTATGTGAGCACATACAGTAGGTGGCAGGGGTAGTTTTATTGCCATTCAAGTTGCCTATAACACTAAACACTGCACTACAGGCAATCACACATACACTCTAATAATACACATTATTATACTTTTTTTTTTACAAAGATGCTCAGGAAACCTCAACATGCCAAACTTCTAAAAGTTTATCTTGAATGAATGCAATGCCTAAAAAAAACTCAAGATGTCCTCAGTGTGCTACAAAATCGGGCACAACAGCATCTAGCCAATGCAAAAAGGGAAGTGAGTACATAGGCAAAATTTACTGAAGGTGATTAAAATATTTTGGAATCATTGAAATTGAAAATGTAACACTTGCTTGGACAGGCCAGTAACATACGGCATACGCTGAAGAAAACGTGGCCCTAGAAACCGAGAACATTTCCATCTTCTTTTTGGCATATATTTTTTAAATCAGCAGAATTGCGGTTAACAGAGCGCATGCCCACTTAAGCCCCCTTTAAATAAACCCTTGAGTGCATTTATCCTCTGAATTCCTGGACAACATATTCAAAGAGTCAATGGGAATATTCAAACTTGTACGTGCAGCCAGATGAAGGAAAATTTTCAAATAAGCTTAACAGCTCTGGCAAGGTGGCTCCACATCAAGGCTTCCGTCAATGGGTACCCAATACGCTAACGCACCAGACCAAAGACATATGAGCGTTCAAGACATTTTTTAGACCTCCTCTATTGTAGCTTAACAGCTGTTACTCCATGGAGGAGAGTAGTCACTATTCTCTCCATCCAAGTTTACCTTACGTGGAGTCCTGATGAAGGGGGGTGGGGTGCGGGGGGAGTTTATTTTGCCTGCAAAAGGCATTGGCTGTTCTTACCAAAAATGAAAAAGCATCTTGGATATTTTTTTATCTGTTTTTGGTCTGATGCTCTTTTTTGCAATTCTATGGTTTGTCCTCTGAAGTCTTATATACCTAATAGTTAAAAGACTCTCTTATCAAGGCAAAATAGTCTGTATTAATAATGTGAACAAAATGTCCTATGACTTGTACCAGTATTACACCCACATGCATAAACAAACATAAATATGGTTATACTTGCTTAGTACAAGGACCTGAGCCTAGAAACCTGCCCACCTTGTAATAAGTTCCTCAGCAGCCTGTGAGCACAGATGAATGAGGGCGACCTCTTCCTCTGTAGCTAGGTCAACAGCTTGCGGAGAGTACAAGTGAGGACGTAGAGCAGGCTTACACGAATCATACTTCTGCTTGTCCTCCCAGGACTTTAAAGTGTTTTCAAAGGCCTGTAACAAAATACTTAATATTAGAGCAACTACAGCAAACATCCACTGAAATCTGGCTTTGAAATGTCACCTGCAAAGTATTTAGCTTAAATACTACACATTTTAGTTAAGATATCAATGCAGTAATCAGCGCTAGAGCAGTTATGTATTACAAAATGCATTATGTACTGGCTTCCCATATACATATGTTTGCCCACAGACACATTTTAACTTCATGGCGCTAACAGGCGAATAGTAAATGTTCAATGTCACAGGTTTTTTTTTCCTCCTAAATATTTGCTACACATTTAAAGCAAATCTCAAGCTATCCATATAGAAACACTTACTGTATATAGTGTCAAAAAGTAGAAAAAATATTTGACAAAAATATCACAAGGATGTTCTGATATAGTTATCACATCATGTTGATCAAAAGAGGCAACTAGTGTTTAGGAACTATTCAGTAGATGCCCTTTTTTTATCATTTAGTATGCTCAGTGCCAATAAGAAATCACAGTTACTTTCATCATCATTCTTCAAGGAGCTGACTTTATTCAATAACTTTGTCAGCAGAGTGAAGAATGAAGAGGTGAGCTCAGTGCACACAATGACAGCCAGCGTCATCACATCACACATTGTGACAGGCGTTATCACAGTTTATGGGTAAAATACAGCAATATGATGACAGCACGGGAAGATTAAACTGCTGAGGTTATCAACGGTGAACGTTAGACACCGAGGTCTCTTTTTACATCTAATCTAAAAAAATGGTGTCTGGTGTCAACCAAAGATTTACCAAAATAAAAAGTGCCGAGATAGCTTAGAAAACACTGAAAACGTAAACCAAAAACATAACAGTAACGCAACGTGTATGAATATCTATTTTAATCTGTGTTAATTCCAATTAAGCCATTATGTTGAATCCATAAAATACTTGTAAAATGTGAATTGAATTATGGATTCCACAGATTTTGCAAATGTTGTGGTTCTAAAACCCGTTTTTAACACAAGTTGTTAGTGTAATTTGTTTTTGTTGCTGGCTAGCTGGTGAGTGTGCTGGGAAATGTATGTGTTTGTTCTGTGTAAAGCCCTTCCATGTGCACCTTACTTTAAAAAGCTAGTTCTAAATAAATTGGTGTAGTTGACATTTTTTGTTTGAATTGAGTTATTAGCCTGAAAGGATCCCACAATGAGAAACTTTTCCTTAGCAAATGTGAATGGGTTGAAAAGAAATCAGAAATATAAAATTCTTACTATAAGATGGAATAGTGAATGCATTCATGGATTATCCTAATCACACTTACCCTGTCTCTGGTTAACATCTGAGCCCTATTTTTGTGTACAATTTTAATCACCCCGGGGGGCTGAATCCATGCTTCACCATCTACTTGTACAGGAACACCCTCCTCTCCGAGAATAGTGATCTTCACTGACCGACACTGTGAAACAAGCAACAGATGCATAAGATGTATTGCCTGGCCTAGTGTTACCCAACCAGCTGGTTCTTAAGAACATACACTATATTTTGTTGCACCCACATGGGCACTGCATTCTGAGTGTTAACATTTAGAATGAAACTATGCATGATGACCTGGAGATGTGAATGAGTCTGGATTTGAAAAGATCTATAGCTGGCTTGTACTGGTACACAATTCTCATTCTAAGGCACACTGGCCCATGGTTGGTGATATTGCCCTGTTTATGTGCAATGTGATTGTATCTCTTGCAGTCTCCTCGGGGATGGCGATTTTGTATCTCTTACATTTGGAGCCATATTTGTTCATGTTTCCGTATATTCTGAAGTAGTAGACTTATTTCTACAAGAAGTGTCAATTAAGAACCACAATTTCACTACTGATTATAAGCATATTCTGACAATGAGTTTGTACTTCGACAGTATATAGCAGCTATGTAGTGGAATCATGTTGAATATACATATAAATGATGTACAATATACCATAATCTGTATTTGTAAATGTATTGTAATTCTGGCTCTTTTTTAAAGTACAAAATGTAAACAATATTTTCTATGATAATTCAAGAAGAACTCTGGGCATAAATATTCTTACCCCTTGCAGTGGGGATTTAGCCTCTCCCTCTACTCTAGCAGTCTATGGTCCTGTGAGTCATCACATCCTATACATTGTAGAGGACATGAGTACGCTGAGGGACCTTCCATCGCTGGAGAGGAGACAGGCTGAATGGACTGGCCTAGCACTCAGCCAACTGTGAGGTTTAATTGAGCATATCTATTATTTTCAACCCTAGATGAAAAAAGGTACTTATCCCTCGGCAGTGCGGGGAGTAGCCTGAATATTTATGCCAGAGTTCTTCTTTAACCACTTAAAGAGCGGTGTGTTAAACCCCCTCCCTGTCCAGGCCATTTTAGTATTCAGCACTGCAGTACTTTGGCTGACATTTATTCCATCATGCAACACTGTACTGAAATTCATCGTTCAGGGATATTTAATCCCCACTGGGGTTTTTATTTTTTACTATATAAAGAAAAAAAGTACCTGAAATTTATTACCCAATTTTTTGGTAAAATATATAAGACGAGGTCACGTCGGGTAGATAGACACTAAACATGTCAAGCCTTTAAATTGGGTGCACCGCGAAATTGCAAAAAAACACAAAACCTATCATACCCAAAATTGGCCATAGGCGATGCTTTAAAAGCATTTACCACTCATTAGTTTAGCGTTAACGGTGAATGATGGCCCTAGAATTATTGCCTATGCTCCGTTGTATGTAACATGTGCGGCGCAATTGTCGTTTTCGCACCTGACGCATGTTTGCATTTGTGTGTGTGTGTATATATATATATTATATATATATATATATAGATATATATATATATAGATATATATTATATACACATACATACATACACACATTATTATTATATACACACACACACACACACACACACATCCTGGACACCTTAAAAATCTCATGTGCGTGTATTACGAGGATCAGGGATGTGGTGCCATAGATTGGAGGAGGAATAGATAGTCAATTTGTAATGTTAAGCCCATATATAGGTGTACTTTTCATTTAACTGACAGTCTCCTCTTTTATATTTCATGAAGAATGTACAGGTTACATTGTGTAGTGTTTTTATTTTTACTGAAAATATAAATTTCATTTGCATTTGTGTTGCCTTGTAAGCTGCTTTTTGTTCCTTAATGGACCACCTGCCTACTATTTTATGCCACCTGGCTGAAACAAATTTGAGGGGAGCACTGTCTTGTAAATTGTAGTATAACACTTACCTGAGCTATCCTATGATGTTGGAGCTTGATCACCCTGGAAACTGCCATTTGCATGCTCCCAAATACTGCCACCACTTCTAAAATCTTATCATCAAATGAGGGAGCACCAAATATCTAGGGAGAGCAAAATAATCTAAATCAAAATAACATACATGTTCCCCATAAAGGGAAAATATAAAATGTGTTAAATGAACTTGATTAAGAATGGTATGTAGTCACCTACAGCTACTAAATGACAACTTTTCACATTGTTTCCAGTATTTTTAATTGAGGCAGGGAACTTATGAGGATGCCTGGTGCCCTTCATATCTTAACATTTTACTATATATAAATCTAATATGTCTACAATATATACTCTAATCCATTATGAACCAGGCATTGTGGTAATGCTTTGTTACCATAAATGTGTTGCGTCAGCACCAGATTATTTAGTTGAAGTGTGAAAGAATCTTCTCCCCAAAGTGGGCTACAGATAGTAAATCAGTAGATTACCACCTGCACACATCATATTTGTGTTCATTATAAAAGAGTAATTACAATCTCTTTGAATGTATCTCAATTGTCATAAATTTAAAGCAAGCCGTAAAAGTGGGTCTGTATCTTTTTACTCGCTGCTTCAACTTTTCATATCTACATATCTCAAAGCCGACTTGAGTAGAAAAACTGGATTTCTCTTTCAAGTGCTTCTTAATTAAATACTCTTTTGGAGCTTGTATGTAAGAATTATTTTAACAAAATTAATACTACAAATCAACAGAACCTCCTCAGCCTGCTGCTATCTAGCTGTGTAATCTCGCCCTCAATTGTGGATAACTTACTGCTACAATCCAGGAAATTATTTTTCTTGCCCGACCAGATTCCTGTGCTAGCTACAAGTTCCCATGCCTAAAATAGCACTAGTATCTGGAATGTTTGGTGTATTTCTGGTCTGACAGCAAGAAAGCTATGAGGAAAAAGTGTGATCAGATCCTTGATGACACCATAAGAAAATAGACAGAAGCTGTGCCTGACTTGCTCTGATCTACTGAACTTACATCATCCTCTTTCGTTCCACCCCAGAAATTAGTGCCACCAGCGTAACTAGGAATGTTTAACACTGCAATACCCTGGAGGCTGGGTAGAGGGATGTACTGCCCATCACACTGTAAAAAAAAAACATTATTATGAGGAGCACGTATTTAAACATCAAGAAAGATTACTCAGTACACGAAAAAATAAACATGCTACACCTTCAAGATAAAGACAGTCATATAATAAACCACAAAATTCAACCCCTTGCTGAGTGACTGCCCATCAGACAGGATAAATTACATTCCATAACTGGTCAGGGGAGTTCAGAGGATTGTTCTACTAACATATAAGAAAAGGGCAAATATTCCCCAGACAAGGAAGTTATACTCAAAAAAATAGATTTATGAGGCCACCTCTTAAACTGCCTATACATGGTAACAGCTGCAGACTGAACAATTAAACATTCTTCTACGGATTCTGAGACTCTCTAATAAACCTCAATAGCACCGAACAAGCTGGAAAAGCAGCATGATGCTGTTTGCGTTCATGAAACAGCAAGTGCAAAGTACCTTAGATAAGAAATAAATGTTCCCATAATACGACAAAAACACATATTCCACTTTTACACTCCATTTAAAACCCAATGGAACTTTCAGTTTAAATTAGCTTGATACATTCCAGGTGCATCAAAACAAAACGGTGTGCAAAGTATCAGGCCTAATGCAACACAGTTGGGCCACCGGCAGTAAACACAGACGTTATCTGGGAAGTTGAAACTTTTCTGCTTCCCAGATGACTTTTTCCTGCGTTTAGATATTGCTGGGTCTAGCCACGTTTAGCTGTGTCTACATGCATTTAACCACATAAAACTAGGCTAAATGGTCCCAGGATGTTTAAACGTGTTTAAATGAAACGCAGCTGGACTGAATGCACCTAGATGCTGCTAAAAGTATAGGTCTGCACTCAGCCATAGCAAAGCACATTGCTTCCAGGCGAAATGAGGTCCAATTGCACCTAGATGCTAACTCCCATGTGCATGGGCCTTACAGGTTTGTTTTCTTTAAACATCAGGCACAGCTTGAGGGAAAAAACAAGGCCTGTCAGCATGCTGCAGACCCTTGCTCTCTGTGAGGGAGTAGTGATCTCTTTGCAGTGGGCAAACATGCGCACTGCAGAGTCAGAGCCAGAGCTCTCGAATCAGCAAGGAGCATGAGCTCTGTGGATAACAGAGCTATATATCTGGCTCAGTTAGGGGCGTTTCAGACCTCTGCAATGAGACCACTATTTTTCCATTAATAAATAAAAAAATGTTCCAAATGATTCCAGACAAGACAGATATATACTTAAGTCACAGCTCTGCATGAAAACCACCCTGAAATGCAGTTACCAGTGATGACAGAGCCATACCTGAGGAAGGGCTGTGGGTCGGGATATAGCCCACTAATTAGGAGACAGTATTGCAATGAGCTTTCACTTAAGGACCATTGGTATGCATGGCCTAGTACAACACTGCTCATTACCACTCATCAAAAACCCATGGCAAGATACTACTGGAATAGAAATGCATTCCTAATCTACAACGGCCATAGGCCTTTCTGGCGAGTCTGTCAGAGTGCAGTGAAAATACCAGCCAAAGGAGATTATGGAAATATCAAAAGAACTGGTACAGTTAGGCCCGCAACATAAAAACCTGATCAAAAGACCAGTATTTATAAAACAAAATGTTACAAGTTTGAGCCATAGTGATTTTTATGTTTATTTTGTTGTGCCTAAAGTTCAGGTTTCATTATGACAGAGTAGAGAAGAAAGATCTAGAAATAATTTTAGCCAAACTGAAAAGGTTACATTATTTAGACAGTGTCTGGAATCTAGGTTCTCTGGTTGCCTTTATTTGCCTATGCATATATCCAGTGGCCACCTTCTATTTTAAGATGGCCACTGGATATATTGCAGAGGCAAATAAAGGCACCCAGAGAACCTAGATCCAGACAATTAAATGAGACCTGTTCTGAATAGGTTTTCCTTTAACAGTAAGCTCAAATACATTTTAAGCTTTGAAGCTGTATTCCATCAGATTAATCTAATTAATATCTGCTGCTCATATCTTTCTAGATTGCATGAAAAGACAACGCAATAATGTTCTAGAGGAGTACCTCAAGTTGAACCTTTTGCTCCAAATTCTTGTAAGTTCTTTGCAGTAATTCTTTGGTGCCAAGTACTCCATACCACATCATATTTTTGGTTCTACTTCTGAATGACAACACAAATAAAATGATGTTAAACAGACTGGAAAGAAACAAATAGGATAATTTTTAACAGTGAATGGATAAAGTAACGGATACACCGCACCGCAAAAAGTGTCATGTTAAATATTTTATTTCACGTGTCAAGGAAACTGCCTCAAAAATAACGTTGGTGTCAGTCAAAGCTCATGATCGGCATAGGTGGGCACTCAGCACAATAGATGCTAAATGCCACAAAAAAGGAAGCTTTCAAAATAACCACAAATTGAAGAAACCTCTTTGACACAAACAATAAAAACTGTAAACTGAGATTCAAAAAGCTGGAGAAAAAAAAAGAGGAATGCCATTCGCATACAACTTGTACCAATACACAAAAAGCCTTAAGCAGAAAAAACTTTGACCCAGAGCACTGGGAAAATTAAATTTGCCTAGATGAGCCATTTTTCCTACATCAAGACTGGCTAACATGTGAAAAACAACAAATTGCCTGGTAGAAGGTCAATAATGGTATGAGAAGCAATGTGCTGGTAGTCAGAATATGAAAAAATGTTTTAAAGAACTGGAAGCGGCATATGTTTCACAACTGCTCCCCATACAGACTATTCAGGAATGATTTTATGAATACCAACTAGGATGACGTCAAAAGCCGCCTGCAGTCTCCCCAACCACTCGATCTAGACATCATTGAAACTTTATATGAAGTACATTGCTTTACACCTTCATCCCTCAACAAATGTGGGGCTTTTATTGGGGTTTATTTTATACACCTGCTGCCCTTTACCCTAAGTCAATAAGAAAAGCTGTATAATACTTAACCCCTGCTCCTGCTATGTAATGCAAGCAATTACCGTATGTCTTTTTGACAGCTGCTAATTTGCTGGTAATAACAGCAGAGGCAGAGGAGAGAAGCTGGACCTAAGAGAAGCATCCTAAAAACTTTACTGAAGTTTTTTAGGATGTATTTCTTACATTTAACATCCTTAAAAGTAAACTATGGCCTAACCTTTTCTGGCCATAGTTCTCTTTAGGGTCACAGGAGGACTTATAATAAAGTCCTCCTGTGACCCAAAACTCAGCATATAGCACATTATTGACCGTTTTATACTGACAGAGCAGAGCCGCTCTGCAGCCAGGAAAGATCCACACTGCCACCTGATTGACAGCTGGCTCTGCCCCTCTAGAGCTGTCTGTCCCCTCCACTGTCCATCCCTCCAGTCAGCACTGAAGGAACGGAGAGGGGAGAATCCCTGCAGGGTGTGATGACTGACAGTCATCGCTCTCTCCGCGAAGATCGGGAACTGAGCATTCAGTGGTATGCGATTGCCGAGTTCTCGATCAATAGAGCCCACATGTGACAGCTTCACACGTCAGCTCTAATTATGGGGATGAGTGTATCTCATCCTCCCCATAATTCTCCTTTAGGGCTTGTTCACACCATATACAGTGTGTTCCAGCGCAGTTAGCTGCTGGTATTGCATAGTAAACTCCCCCTGTGTTCTGGGGCGGGAGGGGGCATGACGGTGCATTGAAGTCCACGACACCGCAGCCACGCCCCCTGGCAGTGCGATCGCATGCACCAGAATGCGGGCACAACAATGAAAAATAGTGCATGCAGCATGTTTTCAGATCGCACTGGACCACAACACAGGCACTGATGTGCCACGCATTCTGGTGCAGGCATTCGCACTGCGCCCCAAAACGCATGGAGCCGGCCAGGATGCAATACAGAGCTTTCCAGCAGCTAACCGCACTTGAACACACTGTCTATAGTGTGAACAAGCCCTTAAGTTGTTAAAGTAGAAACAAACCCAAGAACAAATATTTAATAACTTACATCCTACCAGTCCTTAGGCGCGGTGGCTGCATTATTTCTCCTTCAGCAACTTACCCAGTTGCGGAACGTGAGATTTAGTTTAAGTTTTAAATCTGCTTTAAAATACTTCGTCATTTCTATTATTTTTCTACCCAGTTTATAAATCATATTACTTTTGTACTTCCAGTTGGTTAGTTTCAATT